TTTTTTTTTTTTTTGTACTGTTGGGGATGAAACCTAGGGCTGTATGTATTCTTGGCAAGCCTTATATCACTGAGCCATTCCCAAAGCCCATCACTGGGGAATTCTAGGCAGATGCTCTGAGCCACACACCCAGCCCCTCACTGAGGGATTCTAGGCAAACTCTACTTCTGAGCCACGAACCCACTCCTTTTTTAACTTTTTGAAGCAGTTTCACTAAGTTCACCTCACTAAGTGGAATGCACTCTATAGCCTAGGTCAGATTTTTTTTTTTAATTCTTTTTTTTTTTTTTTTTTAAATGTGTATGAGTGTTTTGTCTGCTTGCATTTAAGTACACCTGTGCATATAATGCCAGCGAGGGCCAGAAGAGGGTGTTGGGTCTCCAGAACTAGAGTTATGGATGGCTGTCAGCTGCCACGTGGGTGCTGGGAACTGAACCTGGGTCCTCTAGAAGAGCAGCCATCTCTCCAGCCTTTAAACCCGATAATCCACAAGTCTCAGCTTCCTGAGTAGCTAGGATGGTGGAACTGTGCCGCTGGGCAGGCTTGAACTTGTTAACAGTTAGGGTTCACTTGTTTGCCCCTCTTGGGAAGATGTTAGGTTCTGCTTTTGTCCCAGGATCTGACTACTCACTAGGTTGTACATTATTGTTAGGAGAGGGACAGAACCTCTTCTTTCTCCAGTCTCCCTGCCATCCTCAAGTACCTTGATAGAGTTGCCACAACAGTTGTGTTTGAGTTTTTAGTCCCAGTCGTGCTCCTTAAACACTTGTTTTTCTTGTTTAATCTTTTTTTAAAATATATTTTTAAAATTTTATGTGTATGTGTATGAGTATATTGCCTACATGTATATAAGTGCACCCGTATTGTGCAGTGCCCAAGGGGTCAGAAGAGGGTGTCAGATCCCCTGCAACTGGAGTTATAGGTGGTTGTTAGCCACCATGTGGGTGCTGGGAATTGAACCTGGGTCCTCTGCAAGAGCAGTCAGTGCTCTTACCCTCTGAGCCATCCCTCCAGAGAAGTCAGGGAATGTAATGTGGTGGCAGGTGACCCTGGGTGGGCCCTGAAAGTTTTCATGCTGCTGCCTCTGGAGGACAGGCTGCTTCCACTGCTGCTGATACTCTAAAGCTTTGGTCTGGTAGACTTGGGCATGGCCTTGAGACTGCATCTCTGACAGTGTGTAACACCCACTCCTACTACCCTCCCCCAGGCGTGTAAATCACAGCAATACTCCTGCCACAACCTTCCAAGTGCTCAGATTACTGTTTATTCTAGATTGCTTGAAAGACTGGTTGAGGGTTAAAAATTTTTTTAAAATTGTGATTATAAAATTACTCTCCAGTTTCAAAAGTGTGTATGGATTAAAGTGCTGAATTAAATTGGAAATGTAAATAATGCTGGTTAATTTCCAATTTTCATGTATTTATTACTCATGGCACAATTTTTTTTTTTTAATCTGTTCCTCCCTCCCTGCCTTCCTTCTAATCCCAGTGCTGTAGAGCAAACCCCAGGCATCTCCTGTCCTGTCTCTTCCCAGGAATGCTGAAAGCACCCATCCCTTACTCCATGGAGTATAAAGTTGGGTGATAGACCAGGACTTGGCACTTGTACTATAAAAACTTGAGGACACTTGGGACTAGAGAGACGGCTCAGTGGTTAAGGGTACTGGCTGCTCTTGCAGAGGACCTGAGTTTGATTCCAGGTACTCACATGGCAGCTGACAACCATCCATAACTCTAGTTCAGGGGACCCAACACCCTCTTTCTGGCCCTAACAACTGTCCATATCTCCAGTTCCAGGATATCTGATGCCTTCTTCCATCCTCTGGGCATTGCATGACATGGGTCTACTTACATGCAGGCAATACAGGCATACACATAAAATAAAAGTAATTAAAATTGCTAGGCGTGATGGTGCACACCTTTAATCCCAGCACTTGGGAGGCAGAGGCAGGCAGATCTTTGTGACTTCAAGGCCAGCCTGGTCTCCATAGTGCATTCCAGGACAGCTGGGGCTACAGGGAGACCCTGTCTCAAAAAGACCAAAAAAAAAAGGTAATTAAAATTTAAATAATGATAATAAATACAATATTAAAAAACTTGGGGAAACTTGAGTTCCCCTTTGCCTTTTGCAGGTTGCTTCTGTCCTGTGTGTCTCTAGCAGGGCTGCATTCTCCAGGTTTCCTCTCTGTGTCTGCTGTCCTTGTATCCCACTGCCTTGCATGGTTCTGCACTAGCCATCTGCTTATTGCTGCGTCAGCTGGTGAGAAAATTCGACATAGCCGGAGCTCATCAGTGGGGT